AAACCCATAGATTTTGATGGAAGGGCTGAAAGTAACTGCTCAGAATGAGAATGGCAGAAAGGATGCCTTCTGCTATATGGATTTAAGATGAAGAGAAGATGCACTTAAGGAAGCATTGACAATATAACTTAAAAAAAGAGCCTTATTTAACTGATTTCCTCTTGTAATTTGCCAAAAAAAGAAAAAAAAAGATTTTTATTGGTTTATTCATACATTCATTTATTCATTGTGGATAGTATCACACTGAATCTTTATCTCTGAGCTTAGTGGCCTCAGGGATAATCCAAGCCAGTATTATGTTAAACATTATGTGGAACAATGAAAGAGCAAACGCCTGCAAGTGTTTCTGCTCCACAGGGTTAGGTAAAAGCCTAACATCTATCATCTGCAGTATCTATACACAATGTTTACATACAGATGAGGAGGAGCTTTATAGAAAGTAAGTTGTCAACACTCTACAGGTGTTCAATAGAAGCTCATCCTGACCGATGCCGTGGAATAAAGCAGGAAGGTCCTTATTTGGGAGCACAGGAGCAGAAGTCAGTTGTAGCAGCTGGCAGAAAAGAGGAGATCTCCTTCCAGTGTCAAACAAGAGGTAGGTAGGACCAGATCAGCACGTGAATGGGCTTGCAATGGAAGAGTAACAGTTTTGTGTGTGACACAGAAGACTTTCTGTAGAAAGGTGTGGTGAACTAATGTAGTTAAACTGAAGAACTAAGAAAAACATGTTGCTGAGCTTTCTGAATGGAAGCGAATGATTTATTTGTTGAGGCACCCACGTTCCTAGCTGGAAGGTTCCACCCACTCCTTCGCACAGTTGGCTGTAAAATAACTCGGTAGAAAAGTGGTTGGTTTTCAGGCAGACCATTTGTCTAACACATGCTCATTACCAAGACTTTAAATGGCAATGGAGACACCTGAGGTTTGAAAGAGACAGTAATGAGGCAATCACATCTTTATTGGCCCATTAGGATGTGGAGCTATGAGCTGGAAGGGAAAGGAGGAGAGTCAGGACCGGTGCTCGACACCGCTTTTGCAGGGAAGGGAAAGAAATACCAGGAATGGTGTGGACAAGCCAAGCTGAAACCGTGATTGGACAAGCAATAGGTGAGAATTAAAAAAAGCTAAGATAGGATGCTAGCTGGCTATGGTAAATGTGACTGAAGGCCAGAGAAGAGATTGGTGATGGGCTGAGAAGCTTTCAGTTGATGAGAGGAAGGAAAACCAAGTTTGAAGGGGATTTAGGGTAGAACTAGACAAGAGCTGCAATTGGAAGACTTGTACAAGTGAGAAGACAAGGAGCACTTCTACCAAAGGCGCTTTTTTTTGTTTGTTTTTAATTTAGAAGAGGAAAGCATATCTGTGTGGGTGCTGGGGGGGGGGTCAGAGCAGGCGGAATGACTAAAGCTGTGAACGAATGAAGGGAGTGGGTGTAAGGAAGATCAGGAAGTGAAATAGGGTGAGGTTAATAGGGCAAGTGATGGAGTTACAAAAGACATAAACATCAGAGACTTAGAGACTTGTAGAAAGGGGAAGCATCAAAAGAATATTTTATTGATTTTTATCTTGAAAGAAAAGAGTGAGAAAACAAATAAAGGAAAGAAAGGAAGGCTTGACAAGGGTTAGTCAGCAGCAATGAGAAGCTAGCTGGGATTACAGGCCACAGATAAACTGCAGAAGCAGAGTTGTTTAGCTGCAGGGAGGCAGAAATGGAGGAGAGAGCAGGCTTGCAGGAGAGGAAGTCAGTTTGATCACAGGATTTCCGTCAGAGACGCTTTGGGCTGCAAAAGCAAGCATGGATGGAGCAAGTGCTGAAGGTAAGATGGTGCTGTGGGTAGGTATGAGTTTATCGTGAGAGACAGAAGTGGAAAAAAAAAGTGGTTTACGAAAATTGTGTGTGTGGTAAATGTATAGCTGATAAATTACTACCAAAGTAAATATATTTTTCTGTGCTTAATGTCAAAATGCAAATAAAGCTCAAAGAAGTGAAAGCTCCATTTCTAATCAATGCAGCTAGTCGGTATTCTTTAGCTTTTCTTCACTCTCTTATTTTCATCATTCTCTTTTTTCTTTCCTTCCTTTTTTTAACAGTCTGCAAGACATCAATTTCTCCACCTTCTTGCAGTATTAGAGTACAAAGCTCTGAAATAATATTTTTCCTCAAAAAGTTACTTATCTGTTGTTACTAGAATGCACCTGCAGCCACAGTCTTTCAGTGTTATTATATTCCATGCCAGCTAAAAATAAGTGAGACAACTAATGCTTGTTAAACCGCTTAACAGATAAGATACAGCAGCAAAGCTATGCCCGGAGAAGTATTCAGAACCATAATGGTTCATTACATTATAATCATCATTTTACTTTTTTTTGTTCCTTTCTTAAAGTCACATCCCTGACCTATCGAAGTTAGGGAATATGCCTCAAAACCAGCCTTTTAGTTATCAGAAATATTTTTTTTTTTCAAGCACCATAAAGATAATATGCATAATGATATTACCACAGGGTTGTAAGGTCAGGTTTATGGAATGCAATGCTTTAGAGGAAACCTTTGAGCTTCTACTACTGTAAAAAGATCTGTCTTTGTTAGGGAAGACATAATGTTATTTTCTCTTAACGTGTGGGGCCGCTTTAAATTTGTAAGTCTGCATTATTAAACCATCGTGGGAAGCAGAGCAGGAGGAAACCCGGGGTAATTGGCTGCAGCTCCAGATGCAGCCGCCCGCTCATTGGAGAGCGGAGGATTCTCCGAGCTACTAAAATTAGACAATCTCCGCCCTCCAGAAATGCTTCTGGAAACAGCAAGGAGGAGAAATTCTGACACAGAGCGAGGGCCCTTGGTGGGGAGTGGAGTGCAGTGGACCCTGCTCCCGGCAAAGCTGCAGCGTATAAAGCTTCATTAGCTGAAAAAAAAAATGCACACAATAAAGAAATTGCAAGAGATTAACGTTAGCAGTGTTTTACATGGATAATAAATTCAACATTTCTTATGTAACAATGATTCTGAGGGCTGAGGAAGCCTTTGAACTACTCAGTCTAAGCTGGGGCTGTCACATGTGTGTGTTGACTAAAGAAAACGACTCTTGCCACATTAACTCTGAACTAAGCTAAAAAACTGGTGAACTCTTTCCATCAGCTTTTTTTTTAAAATAAAACATGTTTACCAAATAGTTGCAGTGTTTACAATGTCTTCAAATTAAATATTGGATAAGATTTCTCTGTTAAAGAAACAAACACCATGCGCCTGTATCAGTGAAGGAAAGTCTGTATCTGAATTACTCAGTCTTACACACTTGGAATCTTTATTTTTTTTGAATAAAATATTTTTATGTGAATAAAAACTTCAGTCTTTGTTTATTAAACATAATTCAAACTGGCTGCAAGGAAATAATTGCATAGTTTTGTTTTGCATTCCTATTTTTACATTATTTATATTACTCATGAAAAAGATGAAGGCAAAGTGATTTTTTCTTATGCTAAAACCAGCTTTTGCAGTAAATTTGCTATTTCCTCTGCTAACCAGGGTACACGGTGGCAGCATCTATGACTCATAAGGTGGAGGGGGGGGTGTCTTTTCTCCTTTGCATTTACTTTCATTCTGATTTCATTTTTCATACAAAAGCCTGTATAGCTGTGTTTTCTCTCTGTTCCTTTGTCAGCGTCACCTCACGGACCCGAAGGTTTCAGCTGAATTTACCAGCGGGGCAAAGGCCCTAACGGCACCTCGGATCCTGCAATTTGTGAAGAAATCGTTAATTAGAGGGGCTGAGGCCTAAAGGAGTGGTGGCCCGGCCGGGGAGGGAGCTCGGCAGTAGTTATCAGGGCTGTGTGCTGGTCCACACCCCGATAGCACCGGGCCAGCTGGCCAGCGTTCAGCCCGGGGAGATGGCCACGGCCTGCCCAGGGTAAACAGGGCGGAGGGGAGGCGACGCCGCGGCACCCAACGCTTCGGCTTCCAAGTCACCGGCGGGGGAGAGCCTGTCAGATGGATGATGGCTGCCCTGTCCTTTCTCAGAGGGAAACGGGGTGTGCAGGGAGCGATGGTGGTAAAATCTGGTTAAAATCCCCAGGGAATGTGGCTGCCCTCAGCTCTGTTCATGGCTCACCTCGTGATGGTTTAACTCAGAAAACACTGCCCATCTCTTATACGTTATTTCTTGTGATTAAAAAGTGAAGTAGCGCTGGATACACACTGTAATTCAATCCAAAATGCTGAAAAACGGCATCAGAGCGCTGTAGGTTCAGGTTAGTGTGCCTGGAATGCCTGAAGGCTGGGAACTGGAGGCTCCTGGCCCCGCTGGGGTTGCTCAGGCACATAAACAGGAAACCTCGTGCTCGCTCCCACAATAAATACCGATACTTAAATAACCTGAAGAAGGGCCTGTGTTTGTATTCTGTGTATCCCCTTTTCCAATAAATAGCATTAGCTCACTTTGTGAATGTTGGCTGTGAGATCCTGACTCCCTCATCAGCCCTGAGTGTGAGGTAAAAACCGACATGAAGCTTTTTGTCAAGGAGAAATGAGATTTTTGGTAGCTCCCCCTGCTCCTTTCCTTATTCCCGTATGACACCAGGTGTCCATAAGCGGGCAGATGTGTCCCTCGGTCACCCTCCCGCAGACCGCGGCTCTCCCCAGGCCTTGAGGCATATTCCGAGGGCGGCAGCCTCTCCCTCCCAACGCACCGCCGCTTCCCGGCCGCCATCTTGCCCCCCCGTCCCCGGCCGAGCAGGCAGCCGAGGGGCGCGGAGGCCATCTTGTGGCCGCTCGGCCCGGGGAGCCGGGCCCGCCGTCGCCTAGCAACGGCGGCGGAGCGGGAAGAGGCCGGCGGGGGAGGCCCAGCGGCGCCGGGCCAGGCCGGGGGACCGGCAGAGCTGGTGTCGCGGTGGCGGGTCTCTCAGGGTATGCGGGGCTGAGCCCGTCTGCGGGCCGGGTGGTGGGGAGGGGTGAGAGAACAGAGCCGCCTCCAGGGGCTCGGCCGAGCCCTGGGCCCCTCGGGCCGCCGGTGTCCCGGTATCCGTAACCGGGTGCCGCGGCTTCAGGCCGGAGCCCCCCAGAATGTGTGTACTTTCAGCCTGGTTCCCAGCAAAGGCAGCCCCGGCGCCTCCGCGTTCAGCTCCATCGCTGCTCCCCGAGGGAGCCCGCAGCCCGTTCAGCCATAGTTAAAAGAGAACCGGGAGGCTCAAAGGTATCGGTGCAGAAAAGATCATCCCAAGCGGGAAGGCAGGTATAACTCTGCCATTATCGATGGGTTTTGCAGCAGGGAGCTGGCCAGTCAGTAGAATATCAGGAAGAAATTCTTTGGTGTGAGGGTGGTGAGAGCCTGGTCCAGAAGCTGTGGCTGCCCCATCCCTGGAGGGGTTCAAGGCCAGGTTGGAGCAACCTGGTCTGGTGGGAGGTGTCCCTGCCCAGGGTAGGGGGTTGGAACTAGATAATCTTTAAGGTCTCTTCCAACCCAAAGCATTCTATGATTCTGTGATTCGGCAGAGGTAGGTTAGCAGTTGGTGATCTTTAAAGGTCTTTTCCAACCTAAACATTTCTAAGATTCTGTATCTTGTCCAGTGCAGGTGGAGGGAGACTGGGGGCTGGGAGTATGGAGGCAGAGGGAAGAGGGGAAAAAGGACAATGTGGCCACAAATCTGTAGGAGACCCAGGACAATCTTACACCTTAATAGCCTGCTGATGGCCTTGATCTGCCAATTAGAAAACTGGTGCTTTGCCCTGAGTCCATAAATATAAGAATTAAATAACAATTGAGAAATACCCCGAGGCTTACAGGTGGACCAGCTCCAAGTAGTAAGTCCCACACCACAATCCTCATGCACGAGAGCACGGATTTGGGGTTTGGTGGATGGAGGGTGTGGGAAGACAGGGCGCCAGGCTTGCTCTGGCACGTAGCAAGGCACGTGATTAACGCTTCTGTCACACATTGAGTTAATTAGTGAAATATTAGCACAGTTTACACTTTATGATTGGCTAACAACATTTATTTTTTGGTTTATTTTCTGCAAAATATGGCTGCGCTGAAAGCAGGAGTGTGGACTACAAGAGAACTAACTAGTCTGGAGAACATCTCCAGGAACGGGGGTGATCTGCTCCACTCCTGGGGTGTGTGGTAAATGTCACTGCAGGTGGCCGTGGGGTGGACAGACTCCAAAAAAATCATGACCTGGTGTCGTTGCAGTACGAAAAGAGCAGGTGGATTCTGATTTAGAAGCCAAGATGCAGATGTTAATGCCCAAACCTCAGATTTTTGTGGAGAGAACTCTGGCCCTCATCAAACCGGATATCGTGGATAAGGAAGAAGAAATAGAAGACTACATTCTCCGATCAGGATTCCTGATCCTTCAGGTAACAGGCTGTGCTCCGGAGAAAATAACTGCAGTTTGTCAGTCAGAAGAATATTTACATCAACTTGCAGCGCTCAGGCCAGTCACTGAAAAAGCTAGTGCGCCCAAAAATCAGTTTGTGTTTTTTCATACATCATCAACCACCCAGATTCTGCGGGGGTACGTTGAGGTGGTGCATGGTGTGGGACAGAACAGACCGACCGTTTTGCCGGCCCCAGCAAAACACGGACTTTGTTAATGAGCTGGGAATTAGCAGGCACCGGCGGCCGCCGGGGACGCTCCGCGGGGCGCGGCCTCCTGCCCGGGGGGGCGGCCGCTGGGGGGCGCTCTGCCCTCGCGCC